AAGGAGGAGTCTTATCATGCACAATTCCATGCTTCAGAAACAGTGTAAGCATTTTGTTATTGATGTACTCGCCTCCGTTGTTAGTATGAAATCTTTTAATAATAGTAGAATCCTGAGTTGTCCTTTGTTTGATGAACTGTTCGAACACTTTTACCATGTCAGACTTCGCTTTTATGGTGTAGATCCATGCATAGTGTATATTGTCATCGATGAAGGTAACATAGTACCAGGAGTTGCCAAAGGAGGGTCTTGAGAATCGCCCACTAAGGTCAGAGTGAATTAATTCGAAAGGGGTGTCACATCGTTTCTCTGTTGATTTAGGTTTTGACTTAGTTGACTTGGAGGTGATGCAGGTTTCGCATTGCTAGTCTTTTGGAACGGTAGGGATAGCGGGAGAGTCAGAGTAGTGGTCGGCTTTGAGGTATTGCGGCGATGGATGTCTAAGGGCTTTGTGCCACTCTTTGTAAGTCATCTTGTTCGCTGTTTCCTTTTCCTCTTGCACAACATAGTCCTGTCCGTCAAGCTTTCCCCATAGAACCTCTGTTTTATTTTCCCTAAAACCATATATATCCTTCCCAGAACTCTACAAAGAAAAACCTTTTCCCAAAGAAACAATAGCGCACCACAACAACAAGTTGCTAGAACCCAACTTAGGAACCCAAAGAACCTGTTGTAGAAAGACAGAGTCTGTCCAGCCATCAGATGTTTTGGCCTTAAGCTCCACTGTTCGACGGCTGCATGATTCTATTACCAAATCATTTCCTAACTTAACGGTGCCGTGTGAAGGTTCCAAGTTTATAAGAAGGTCTAGGTTCAAGGTCATGTGTGAGCTTGCGTCTGTATCAATAACCCATTGATTCGGGTAAGGGGTCTTTTGCGTAGGAGGTAAAGAGGTAGAGGTACTGACCAGTTTGGATGTTTCTACCTTTCCGATCTTAGCTGAGTGTCCGGCTCTGTCCTCCTTTCGCTTTTCGTTGTCAGCCTTGAGCCTATTACACTCATTCCAGGAGTGACCTTCACTGCGAGCAGAGGGGTAGTGCTTTTTGCAGTAGGAGCATTCCTTCGTTTCAGCCGGTTGCTGGCGGACCATGTTGCGAGCCTTTCCCTTTCCTTTGAGATCAGTGCTTTTATATGCCTTATCGTCCTCAGAGTTAACCAAGGATTTCAAGTCCAACAGTTTGTTGTAGATGTGATTGTAGGTAAGGTCCTCCTTGGTTTAGAGGTTGTAGACAATATTGCTCATCGATTGAGGTAGGGAACGGAGGAGAACGGCAGCTTTGACTTCAGTTGACTTAAATACCAATTTAAAAATAAATGGTAGAGCGTATCGGTCAGTTTCTGAAGCAGAGGAGCAACGATGTTGCATGCAATTCCATAGGGTATCGTACTTGTTGATGTGGTCCAGCATAGGTTCGGAGGTATTGTACTCGGAATCGAGGACCACATTGAGCTCGTCAAAGAAGGAGGAGGTATTTTCACAAGCGAACTTATCTTTGAAGGCTGTCCAAATGGCGGGTGGTGTCTTGTGGGTGGCCAGCAAGACTAGCCATTTGGGATCGATGGTTTCTAAGAAGTAGGCCAAGGCCCACTGGTATCAATCTCAGATAGAATCTCTAGAGTCAATATTATTATCATCCCCAGTTGTTTCTCCCACATCCGGTAAGGTTTCTTCTCCTATTACTATAGTCCAACAATTGAATAAGGTTAGAACATATTCAGAGATATCGCGCCAAGTTCTGTAGTTTTCTGGGCCTATAAGCTTTGGGATTGAGCTTAGTTTATAGGCAGGTGCCCAGTTTCGCTTAGAGTTGTTGGTGGGACTTTGTGGCGGTGGGTCAGCAGGGCCTGCAGGATCCATTGGTGGTGGTGGAGGCGGTGCGCCCGGCGGTGTCACAAGTGGTAGTGGAGAAGTTGGAGGTACCGGAGGGAGTGGGGGAGGAGCAGGAGGTAGTGGAGGTGGCTGGTCCTGTTGTTGCTCGAGATCTTCTTCGTCAGGTTTGTTGGGTGGTGGAAATGGGGGTTGTCCAAAGGTATTAGACATGTAAAATAAGTTATTTTTGTTTTGACCTATGTTAAAAATCCTCGATCACTGTTATTAACCACCACTCCCTGTTGGCCAGCACTTCTATACTAGTGAAAGCCTGTTTGCAGAACACTCCAGTTGCACCTAGGGCCCATAGAGTTTCGCCAGCAGGGTCTGATTCAGGCTCTTAAAAGAATGAGAAGTGCGGGAGGGGTGATGGAGGACCACGTGAGCAGTGCCTGAGGAAAGAAGAGAATTTGGAGGGAATGGTTGGCAGATTCTGCTTTTAAGCAAGGGGGAATGCCAAGAACGTTTCGCCGAGAAAACTTCATACTGAGGGAATAAAGTTTTGTTTCGAAGAAAGTTTCAGTTTGATCAATATTTTCGACTCAAATGAATTTGTTTCATTTCGAGGTAGAAATGTTTCGTGTCAAGTGAAATGTTTCAATCGTCGTAGGTAGGAAGCGTGTAGGTGTAAGTCGTATAGTTATAGAGACACCGGGCTCATAACCTGTTCAAATGTGTAGGTACGGCACTATCTTAATAACTTTGTACGAAAGTACGACACAGTAATAAGAGTATACTGTGGGCACGTTAAGCAAGGAGGAATTTTGTATGAAGGTAGATTGGTAGTAGTTCTTGTCCTTAATTCTCTTAAGCGAGATGGGTGGTAACCCCTATTTATACAAGTACGCATCCTTCACGTAACTAAGAGGCAACATAAGGGAAAACATAAGTGTCGACGTGTTTGACCATAACATAAGTAGGAAAAACATAAGTGTGAACGTGTTTGACCCTAAAGAACTGCCAAGGAAATCCCATAAAACATGCGTAAATCTTTGGTGATGTAAATGGATAATTAGAACATAATTGTAAATCAAATGACCGATGACCATGCATGATGATGCATAAAATGTAAGAAATAAATCCCAATACCAGATAAGAAAAGCATGCCATAATCTCCTAATCATATCAAGAAATATCAATGAAATATACGTAATACATACTCCACTGTAGTAATGTCCATGAACTAGAAATAATACTAAGTAG